GACAGGCCTATTTTAAATGGTGAAGTGGGATGATGGTATTTCAGAGATGTATGTTTGAAAGATTGAGAGGGTGTATACTGGGTGAGGAGGATTTCTCACTTCCAGAACCTGAGCATATTCTGCCAAGGGAAACCAGGTGCTGTTTCTCTTTAATGAGGTTCTATTTATGTGAATGTGCATTCAGCCACGACCAGACAGAGATGCTGGCAATCGGGAAGAGAAAGGCTGATGTCTGTCTGAGAAGGAAATGCCAAAGGACAAGTATGGAGCATGGAATGAGGGCAATAAAAGGGGAAACCTGGCAAAGTTGAAGGCATGCCTTTCCAACTCTAGATATGGTAACAGTGAACACCATCCAGAATACCTAGAGGAAATCTATGACAGAGATGTTAACATTTTATGAGGCTAGCAGAAGGGTTGTCAGTTGTACAGGGACTGACAGAAGCAGATGCTGAAACTTTACCATCCAGATGGCATTTACTTCTCAAAAGTAGGAAATTGTGTTTTTATTCATGTAAATGTAGGGGACTTTTAAGGTACTGGGTTTAGTTCATGATACCAGTGTGGTGATGAGACTGATGGAGGAAAGCATCTGGAAGAAGAGAAGAATTGGAGGGAAAAGAAGACTACTTTCAATTCTGCACGTGGGAATGATATAATGGAAAAAGTAAACTACTTGGGGTCAAGAGAGACCAGGTCTCAAGTCCTAATTCTGACATTTAATAGCTGTGATCCTGAATAAAAGACCTGATCTCTTCGAGCCTCAGTTTCCTCATTTGAAAAGGAAGTGGTGTGTATAAATTGTTTTGCATACCTTAAGCACTAAATGAAAACCAAATACTCTCAGTCTCTTTTGTTGGATTTTCATCTCTGCAATGCCAATTAACCGTGGATGTCCCACAGAGTTCTATCCTAGGCTCTCTTCTCCATCTATGTGATTTATTTTTTTAAACTTTTTGTAGTATTTTGTTTTTTCCCCAGTTACATGAAAAAAAAAATTTAACATTCATTTTTAAAAACTTTGAGCTCCAAATTCTCTCCCTTCCTTCTTCCCTGTACCCCTCCTTGAAAAGGTAAACAATTCGATGTAGGTTATACATGTGTAGTCATGCAAAACACTTCCGTAATAGTCATGTTGTGAAAGAAAAAAGACAAAAAAACCTCAAGAAAAATGAAGAAAGTAAAAAAAAAAAAAAGGTATGCTTTAATCTGCATTCAGACACCATCAGTTCTTGTCTGGGGATGGATAGCATTTTTCATCATAAGTCCTTCAGAGTTGTCTTGGATCATTGTATTGCTGAGAATAGGTAAGTCATTCACAGCTGATCATCCTACAATATTGCTGTTACTTTGTACAGTTTCAGTTCGCATCAGCGCATTTTCAGTATTTCCAGGTTTCTCTGAGAGCATCCTGCTTATCATTTCCTATAGTACACTAGTATTCCATCATAATCACATACCACAGTTTGTTCAGCCAGTCGCCAATGGATGGGCATCCCCTCAATTTCTTATTTTTTGCCCCCAGAAAAGAGCTGCTATAAATATTTTTGTACATTTAGGTCTTCTTCCTTTTTTAATCTCTTTTGGGATACCAACCTATTAGTGCTATTGCTAGCTCAAACCATCTATATTGTTTCACTTGGTGTTCTCATCAGTTCCCATGGATTCAATTATGGTTTCTATGCTGATGATACCCATTTAGCTAACCACTTTGTTGACCTCCAGTCTTGCATCTCCAACTTTCTCTCAGAAATCTTAAACTGGATGTTCTGCAAACATATTAAACTCAACATGTCCAAGGCTGAACTCACTATCTTTTGCTCCAAACTATGTCCCTTTCCAAACTTCTCTGTTATGGTAGAGGGTACTATTTGCCCCCAGGCTCACAACCTAGGTATCATCCTTGACTCTTCATTCTCTCTCCTACCTTATATCCAATCTCTTATGAGAGCCTGTCAATTTTACCGTCATAATAACTTTCACATACACTCCCTTTTCTCCTCTGGTATAGCTAAAAGATGTAGAGTATGCAAAAGAAGACTTTTCTTCAATATATATACATATACTTACATATATACATCTTTTTTCCATAATTTTCCATCACCTACATATCCCAATATGCTCCTCTTTCCCTTCCCAGAAAGCCATACTTTATAAAAGAAAAAAGGAAACAGTTCAGCAAAACTAACATACATGCCAACATTATATGCAGAGTTCCATACCCACAATTTTCCTAAGGAAAGCTGTTCTTATGACGAGGGAGAACCAGGAGGATGGGAACAAGCAAGTGGATAGAGCATATGGAAGATGCAAAAGCCTGGATTACTGCTAGAGGAAAGGCCTAACGTCAGTGGGAAGAGATAGAATGAATTGTACCAGTAAAGTAATTATCCTAACTGATGAGTGGAGATACAAACATTAATCTGTAATGAAGATAGAGGTGAAGCCCAATTGCTATATTATTTCAGAGTGGGTGTGGAAGTTATTACTTACTAGGAATAAGTGGATAAGGGAAAGCTTTCTGGATTAACTGGCATTTTCTTTGGGCTTTAAAAGATAGGAGGAAGTCTAGGAGGGATTCTAGAGGGAAGACAATTTAGGCAGAGGGACTACCATGTACAGAGGATGACAAGTTGTCTAATTTGGCTGCAACATAAAGTGGAAGTGAGTAACATGACAGAAGGAAGGAAAAATGGGATGCCATTGGCTTATGGAAGACTTGGAATGCAAAATAAGGAATTTGAACTAGCCTCCAGAGGTGACAGAGAACAATTGAAGGATTTTGATAAAAGCACTCATGTGGACAGATTTATCTACAGTAAGGGAAGAATGGATTAGAGGGAGAATATATAAGAATTAAACTAAATTCAACCTTTACTACATATTGCTACTTGAAAGTCAGTGTTGGATTCTGGGTCACAAAGACAAAAAAAAAAAACCCTGACCCTCAACGATCTTATATTCTACTAGATGCATGCCATATTTGCACAAATTCAACAAACAATATGCACAAATAAATAAATGCAACTTATACTTGAAATAATACAAGCTAATTTCAAGAGGCAGAGCATGTTAATATCTTATCAGGAAAAACCTGAGCTAGGAGGTGACAACCAAACTTAGCTTTGAGGAAAGTTGAAATTCCAGTAATTAGAGGAAGTGAATTTCATGCATGTAGGAACACTTGGGCATCTTGGAAGTAGGAGGACCTATTAGGAGGCTCTTTTATTAGACTAATTCAGTAGTAATGAGAGCCAATGGTAAACTGGTGGATTTCAAAATAGAGAGGTGGGGGAATATGTGGACAATATGGGATGTGAGAGGTGAAAGTAACAAATATAACATTATGGTATTAAATATGAAAGACTAGGTAAATGGTGAAACTACTGACAGAAATGGCGATGAGTTTTGCTGAGTTTAAGATACCTCTGAGTATATCTTTGTGGAAATTATAGATAATTGGGATGCTTATTTGGAGGTCAGGGAGAAGTCAGATCTAGAGATATGGATTTAGGAAACTTCAATGTAAATGTGATAGTTAAAGCAATGAGAATAAATAAGATTGCCAAAGAAAAGAGTAGAGAGGGAGAAAGAGAAAGACTAAATGCAGTATTAAAGCCTTGTACAATGCAGCCATACTGTATGACCCTGAGCAAGTAACTTAACCTCTGTTTGCCTCAGTTTCCTCACCTGTAAAATGAGGATAACAATAACACCTACCTTGTAGGGTTTTCATGAGGTTCAAATGAAATAATATTTGTAAAGTGCTTAGCACAGTGTCTGGGACCCCAGTAGGCTGTATATAAGTGTGTATTGCCTTTCTTTCCCCTTTCCCCTCCTCCTCAACTCCTATACCCAAGAGGTATATTAATAAAGTAACTGAGTTCTCAAATGAGGGGAAGGAAAACCATCTTTTTTTGAAGTTCACATTTGTATGTATGTCTCTCTCTCCCTCCCTCCCTCCTCTCTCTCTCTCTCTCTCTCTCTCTCTCTCTCTCTCTCTCTCTCTCTCTCTCACTCACACACACACACACACACACACACACACACAAAATCAGCCAAGAACTACATCAGTAAGGAGCATCCTAACATAGGATTATAAGGAGAAAAAAAATGATACTCTTGAAATGAGAGAAATAGAAAATGTTGCAATAATCCATTAAGAAAAGCAGATAGAAAACTTCATCTAGGTCTTGCTCCTTTAATGGAAGGAGAAATGACAAAGAAAAATAGGAAAGTGGAAAGAATACAGTGATAGAGAGGTAGATAGACATATAAGGTGTTACAGGCAGATATACAGATGGCAAGAGACATGAAATAGAGAACCTGGAAAGGCATATGAGACATAGAAAGAAAGACAAAAAGAGAGACCCACCCACAAAGAGAGATGGGCCTTCATAGAGTAACATTCTCCCATCTTATGGCTTTTTACTTCTTTTTTTGTTTGTTTGCTTGCTTGCTTGTTTGGGGGGTTGTTTTATTTATTTATTTGGTTTGTTTTTGCAATAGTAGGAAGAAATGGGGATATCATTTTTTGGTACTTGCCCTATGGACTGGATAAAATTAAGTTTGGTTTGGTTAAACTTTCCATTTCTGTGTTGTAAAAAGAAAATAAAGCTATTAAAATTAAAATAACTTTTAGGCTGCTATGACCAACCTAGTACCTTAGCTCTACTAGATGACTGATCCTATACACATTTCTTTTTTTCTATTTTTCTTTTTCGTTGTTAAAGTTTTAAAAATACTCAATGTTTACCTAGAAAAAAAGAAATTGAAGTGAAATATCAATTTGACATTAGCCAATTCTATTAACTTGATTCAGTACAACATAGAACTACTTAGTTAAACAATAACCACTGTTTAAAAAACATTTTTCAATTTTGAATTTTAAATGGTCTATTGATGTCGGTAGAAAAATATGCTAAGTTTATCAATACAAGTGGAGTAACAAAACAATAGCTTTTGCAGCTACAAAAGTTCTTCTCTTTCCTTCATTTCAGACTTTTGAGAGTCCTGAAAGAATAATGCATGGAGTCATCATTTGAACCTTTGGAATAGAAGGGCATTGGCATCTAAAGACCTTTGAGGGCTAATTGTCATCTATGTGACTGTATTTGGAAAATACAAAACAACAACCACCAAAAAAACCCCCGTATTTCAGCTGTTCCTTCCTGCACAATAACACATAGGTTCTTCTAGATTCACTCAACTGCATGAAAAGTTGGCCTTGTCACTCAGTACAGACAATGGAGAAATTATACCTACTCACTTATGTAAGATGTTTTATGAATTATAGTTGCTAGTACAGCAAATGTAACTTTCATATGGCAGATATGAAGGAAAACGTTTAATAATGTCAAATTTGAGGAGTAAGTTCTATTCTCACCCTGTGATTAAGGTATGACAACTATTATATAAATGCCCACAGATGCTTGAGCTACCTTTTAATGTATGTGCTAATGATATAAAATATGACATATGGCACGCCAAGGATAGCACTGGGTGAATCAGGTGTAAAACACATATGCACACATACATACATGTGAGCATGCAGACATATGTATATGCTGATTATTAATGAGCAAACTTTCAGTGGCTATATCTCTATAATCATTTGTATTTTTATTTTTGTAGATTAAGTACAAGACTTTTTTTTTTTCCCTCAGATTCCTATCAGAACATTTTCTGCAGTGGGAATGCAAGCTCTTCTAGGGAACTCATGGTCATGAGGGCAGTAAAGTTTACCTTATAAGCAAGGTTTTAAGCACATCACTCTTGCTCTAGTCTATGAGGTATATAACTTGAATATGCAAACACTGATCTTTGGTAGCTCAGGTTATCACTTAATTGACTCATTTTAGGTCACCATTCTATGGAGGTGCTTTGACTTGTCAATGTCCTTCTTAAAACTTAGTGCCCAGAAATATAATACTGGAAACATAGTGTAATTAGATCCAAGTGAAAAGGAATTCTTACCTCCTTCATTCTGGGTGCTACTAATAATAAAGCCTATGGCTCTGCAGATTGAGGTGTGACACCTACCTCACCTCTCCCTAGATTTTCTCTCTTGCTAAGTTGGGACTGGCTCTTTCACCTCACATTTGATCAGGTTAAGATGCTTACCCAGTGGGACAGCCATGTGGCTACTAAACTCTAAGGATTCTATGGGTAGCTCTTATAGATAATTATTGAACTCCAACTAGTTATTTCCCATTAACAAATTAGCCAATAACAATCAATATTAACCAAAATATTTACTAAAAATGTAAATCAAATACATACTATTTATATAATGTTTCAGTAATAATCATTAATCATACTCTCCCATCAATGCATAATGTCCATGGAGAGAGTGGCCATACATATAAATACTGAAGGCAGTAAAGCATATCAGTAAGGAAATACTTGCGGCAATTATGACTTGGGTGTCATCTTCTTGTTTCAGGAACTAACTATAAAAGTTCTTTGATGAACATAGCTTCTGTATTGAACAAAATTGCTGTATTGAACAGACATGCTCTGCTTAACTAGCAGTTCACTGGACATGATATCTCAGCTGATATAGTTGATTTAATGGGATCCTTTCAAGTTCTATTTCCAAGCTATTTCTCTGTTAAGTTGGTCTAACTCCTCAATAGCAACTGCAGTATTTATCACTTTTCCCTTCAGGAGTAGCTAATGCCTTCAGCAAAGTAGTGTTATGTATGCTCTTTTAGGAAAAGTCAATCTTCATCCTAAGATGGCCAAGGATCTTATATACATTCTATTAAGGAAGAAAATACATACAAATATAAAATAAGGGATTGGACCTGTGATTTCATTGGCATAGAGACCTCCCTCTACAAATATACATTAGTACTTTCTTAGTAACTTATAAAATTAAATAGCTGTCTATAGTACTGAGAGTTAGGTGATTTGATGACATCACATAGCTAGGTCTTCCTAGCTCTGAAAATAGATTTCTGTCTGTTTTGTCATACTGATTTCATAAAACATATACAAAATAAATATAAGGTAATTTTAGTGGGGAGGGCACTAACACTAGTGGAGGAAGGAAGGTAGATCAGGAAAGACTTCATAAACAAGTGATTCAGAGACAGAAGTGACAAGAGATTGTATTCCAGTCATGGGGTTACTTACATAAAGGCTAGAGAGTAAGGGAAGGTAATTAATGAATTAACTGACTTGAAAGGGAGGTTGAAACCAGACTGTGAAAAGTATTAAAAGTCAAGCAGAGCAGTTCATACTTAATCCTGGAGGCAATAAGGAACTTTTGTTATATGTTGAGTTAGGGAGTGATATGGTCAGACCTGTGATAGCTCTGTAGGAAAATCACTTTTAGCACATTGTGTAGGGTGGATTGTAACAGAGAGATACTCGAAGCAGGGAGACAATTTAGGAGGCTATTTCAGCAGCCTATGTGAGTGTTGATGAGGGTCTGAACTATGGAGACTGTGAATTTGAAAATGGGATGGGTACGTGAGCTTTTTTAGAGATAGAAGTAACAATATTTGTCAATTGTTTATATGTATGAGGGAAAGAAGAATGGGAATTATTGAGACAGCTAGGGGGCACAGTGGATAGAGCACCAGCCCTGAAGTCAGGAGGATCTGAGCTCAAATCTGGCCTCAGACACATGATACTCACTAGCTGTGTGACCTTGGGCAAGTCACTTAACCCCAATTGCTTTGACAAAAAAAAAGAAGAGTGGGAATGAAAGGTAGCTGATATTTTGAACCTGGGTGACTCTAATGATGATAATACCCATAAAAGAAATGAGGAAGTTGAGAAAGGGATATATTTTGGGGAAAAGAAAATCTGTTTGAGGCATCTTGAATTTGAGATTCTTATGGGACATCTTGTTTGAAATGTACCATAGGCAGTTGGAAATGCTTGATTTGAACTGAGGGGAAAAAGTAGGACGGCAGATATTCCATTTGGCTTTTAAAGATATGATAACAATATCCATAATATCTCAGGGAGAGCTAATTGGAACAGATGCAATATAAACATTAAAAGGTAATGTTGTAGAAAAGAGTTTGTGTTAAAAATTAGAAGTCCAATGAAAAATGTTGAAGTAAAGTATTTCTCCTGGCCTTGTATAATTGCTAACTTCTGTTTAATCCATTCTAATTTTCAGAAAGTCACCTACTTGGTAAAAGTTTGTATTTCTTTTTTTACTAAACTGCTAATTCTCCTTTCAAGTCTTTCCTATAGAGCTCTCATTTCTTTTTCCAATTCTTTTCTTTGGAGCTTTCATTTTCTTTATAACATCATTTAAACATTATTAATTTTAAAGGGGCATCTAGATGATACAGAGGAGAGTGCCAAGCCTGGAGTCAAGAAGACTTATGTTCAAATCTAGTGTCATATACATTCTAACTGTGTGACTCTGGGCAAGTCACTTAACCCTCTTTGCCTCAGTTTCCTCATCTGTAAAATGAGCTAGCAAAGGATATGGTAAATCACTCTAGTATCTTTGCCAAGAAAACCCCAAATAGGGTTATGAAGAGTCAGACACAGCTGAAACAACTAACAACAGCAAGAAATTTTTAATTGTTATTAGATTTTTAAAATTAAATTATTTTTTAAAATATTGCTTCGTTCTTTCCAGGAATTCTTATTGCCCTTGTGACCAAACTGTGTTTTACTTTAACTCTTTGCTTGCAGATAGTTTGAAATTTTTCTTTTGGGTTGTAGATTTTCTCCATAATAGTTCTTTATGGTTGGAGGCATTTTGCTTGGTATACTTCCAGCCTTTCTTCCCAAATTGGGACTTTGTGTTAAGGCCAGTCTCTATGTACTTCTGGGAAGAATTCTATGGCCTTATTTGATCCTGGTCTGTATTATATGTGGTTCTGCCACTGTTTTCTTTAGCTATTGACTGCTGTGTCCTTCAGTGATCTCAGGGTGATTTAGAGAAGATAGCTGCAAATGTTCAGTGGACCCTATGTAGTCTGATCAAGGGCATGGTCTGATTATTACCCTCCTGATCTGAGCTTTGCAGGCTCTAGATCCTGGTTTGTGTCTGGGCAACAACTACAGGCCTGACTATGGTTGATTTCCAATACACAGTTGCTGGAGCTGGCTCCAGGCCTTGTCAAATATGCGGAAAGCTCTACAGGACAAGCTAGCAGAATTTTAGGTGCATCTCTGGCCCACAGTCCGTGCTCTGGTCTCTCTCATGTGGACTGAATCCAAAATCCTGCTGTGGGTTCAAAATGAACGAGCTACAGTCCCATTCCTGATCCAGGCATGTGGTCTGACTGCATGATTATAGGCTGGAAAAACTACTCATCACGATTTGTGATTGAGAAGTCCAAGGACACTGGGCAACCACTGAGTCGTCTAGTACTCTTTGTTGATCTTTTTTGGAATACTTTTAGGAGAGAACTAGGTTGTACTGTTTTCTACTACTCTACTGTCCTCTTCAGTTGTTTCTCTCTGTGTGTATGTGTGTGTTTTATCTTTGATTTATGATGATCTTTGAGAGGTGTGAGAAGACAGAGGAAGAAGAAAAAGGTGAAACTTCTTCCTACTCACAGTTGTGTTCATGGTGATGCTATAAGGAAAGATATGTGTGTGTGTTTGTAAAACAACTTTAGTTGAAAAAGAACATCAGCAGCGAATCTGCAAATGGTTTAAGAGAGAGAGAGGATAGGAAGGGAAGTCAAGGAATGAAGACAGTTTTCTTTGTCTAATTTTCTTTCTTCTTTCTTTCACAGTTCAACTGTGAGAGGAGAAATATGGGATAATATCTTGAGAGTCAATGATGGTTTTCTAATATACAATATTATGTTACTATTCTATTTACCTATGCTTCTTGAACAATACACATACCACCATTGCTATATTCTATTCATAAATACCTACCCACAAAATTTATGTAATACCTACAAGGTAATGTTTAGTTCCCTATGTTAAGTCTGAAATTTACTTTATTATTTATAAATTCTCAACACTAGATATATGCATTTGTATGTGTGCATGCATGCATCTATAGCCATGCATGTTGGTTCAGTCTTTCATAATTATTTTTTCCTGAAAATTAGTGGACATTCCCTTTTCATTCCCTTTTGTGGCACATTTATTGTTCTCCCTGGTACTGTTTTAGCAGATGTGCCTGGATGCTTTTCTTCCAACTC